TCACCATTATCAGTATTACCATTATCAGTATTACCATTATCAGTATTACCATTATCAGTATTACCTTTATCAGTATTACCATTATCAGTATTATCATTATCAGTATTACCATTATCAGTATTACTATTATCAGTGTTACCATTATCAGTATTACTATTATCAGCATTACCATTATCAGTATTACCATTATCATCCGAATCAATAGCATTATCATTTTTTTCTCAGTTGTTGTTATTGTTGTTGTTGATTCAAACAATATTAATATTTCTTTCTAAATACAGACTAAAGACCCCAAAATAGGTGTATTGTGGAAGTTGCTGTTTGGTACTGTAACCTGTTTGTCCTTCGGTAAGTATTAATTTGACTTAACATTGAAAACCTATCTAATGTCTGTTAAGACGTAGTGTATTTCACAATCTGATGTAATTAACGTTGTTGAATTATATTTAACTATGTTAAATTATTTTCGTTCTTTTAAGTTTAATGTACTTACCTTGTTAGGCGCCTTGAGCATCTCTTGGGGTGGATATGTGCGCATTATAAATGTTGTTATTATTATTATTTATTATCCGTCATATTTGTTTGATTTCATAATTGTTGCAGAGTCAATTGTAGTCACGTTTTGCAGAACCTATTACACAACTATTGACAAGGATTTGTGTCCTCAAACTAGACCTACATGGCATCCCAAACAAAAAATCTCGTTCGAAAAGAGTCTCTCTTTAATATAAATATTTCAAAATATTTTAAGAAAACCTGCATCCTCAAGATGGAGAAGATGATGGAAGGCAAGGATGAAAAGGAGGGAATGAGGAGGAAGGGGAGGATAGTGGTAGGATAATTATTAGGCTCGACGAGGGCTTTATGAGGATGACTAGGAGAAGAGGAATGGGGAGTAGAGAAATGAGAGAAGTAGCAGGGCGTATAGGAGGAAGAGGAGTATGTGGAGGTGGAGGAGGATGAGGAGGAGCAAGAGGATGGGGAGGTAGTGGAGGAAACAAGGGAGGGGGAGGGACGAGGAGGCAGGAAGAGAAGAGGCGTAGGAGAAGGAAGAGAACAACTAGCAATTAATTGTCTAATATATGCTTCACAGCCTTGCCTGTGTTATCGGATTGGTCCAAGATGGCGAAGACAACTTGTCCAGATGGGTTCGGCCTAAATTACACTTTGCCCATGTCCCAAAAGTGTGAAATGAAGCAACTCCACGATAGCAGCATGGTGCAGAGCATCCCCAAACTCATTCCTTTTCCTTCTGTCGTCGCCGGGTGCCACCGAAGCAAGAGTAAAGAAGGGATCCCGGGCGGACATAGAATATGCAGAATCCCGCGTAGGTTGCATGTTTAATTCATTATTGTTCTCAAATGTCAAATTAATTTTTTGTTTTAATCAATAAATCTACATACAGATAACACTTTCTTCAATGATATTATAACAATTGAATATCTACAACCAACAAATACTACTGCTGCTACTACTACTACTACTACTACTACTACTGCTGCTACTACTACTTCTACAACTACTACTACTACTACTACTACTACTATTACTACTACTACTACTACTACTTCTACTGCTACTAATACCCCTACTAGTACTACTTCTAATAACTATGAATACTACTATTAATGATAATGATATGTAATAGTAATAATAATAATAGTAATGGTTACAATGATAATAATTATAGTATTAATTACAACACTATTAAAACAGCAACAAGAAAAACTACAACAATAGTTACTAGTACAAGGGCTGCTACACAAAAGATGTGTATGTTACGAAATTTCCATAACTATGTTTCTTTTTTTGTCTGCTTTAACTCAATCGAATGTTGAGGATATTTCATGGTACAAAAACCTTTTTCTTGGCGTAGTGACATTACCATCCATGTTTTTGTAAATCTATTTGAAAATTAAAATCGTTCCAGAAGAAAAGTAAAAGCAATCGTTTAATTTGAAGGCTGTTCAAAAGAGCAAGAGGAATTGACTAGTACTCCATCAATATCTAATTAATTAATAATTGGTTTCATGCTACCGGGTGATGTGAGTATTTATTATTAATTGTATAACATTTCATTAGTCGGTATTTCGTTTGCTAACGGTGGAATGGCAGACGAGTTTACTACAGCTGCTGCTGTTGATGCTTAACTAATACTACAACTACTACTACTACTACTACTACTACTACTACTTCAACGACTTCTACTACTACTACTACTACTGCTATAGCTATTACTCTCTCAATTTCATAAATATTCCTTATATTTAGAACAAGGCCATCTTTTCTGTATTGCAATTTAATTATTTATAGAGTGCAGGTAGGAAGATCTAGATAGGGCAATGTTGTACGACTCTGGCTTCAAGTGGAAATTGCTTCACGTCAAGTTCTACTATACTCTAACCGAATTCTTAAAAGACAATCCAATCTTTCTACTAAGTGCATTCGTATGAAATCAGAAAACAAAAGAATGGCGAAAGTTTGAAATAAATCGGATTGATACTAAGGGAGTTATGAATGTTTGAAATTTGAGATCAATACATTTTTATGAATGTCCAATTGACTGTAACGTAGTCAATGACAACTCTCCCGTTTGTCGATTACTAAAATATTAATAATATCTGTTTTCTATTAAGTGCCTTCTCCCCTGGGGCATTACTGAAAATATGATTATTATGGATAGCATACTACCATCGGTCCTCTAAAAAAACAGGCCCTCCAACGTCATCTTTTTTTAAATTGACATTTTAGTCGTTTTTTGTGTTGAAACAAATTAAAAAAGTTATCCGGCGCTGCGTCACAGTGACATTACCGATCCAGTCAATTCAAAGTGCCCGTAAGCATAGTGATTACAACTTTAAAACAATCATAACTTTCTCTTTTTTGGTCCCATTTTCATTCAGACTTTCACCATTCTGCTTCTCTTATTGTTTCTGCTTTAAAATATTAAAGAGTAGTTGTCTATAAAGTTTGAATTTTCCTGTAAGTAGAAAACATAATATACCTAACCCTAACCCTAATCCTAACCCTAACCTACAGGCCATTTGCAAGTCTAATCCAAACTATGACCAAACAAAGCCCGGAACAATTGACGTGGGAGAAAAAATGTTTGGTCTCCAAGGGCACTGGAAATTACTAGGCAAAACAGTGAATTTTAGAAGGGGGCACTGACACCAATAAAAAGGGTATCCGATGGCTATGTAGTATGGTCTTCATAGCCTTTACAAAAAATTAAGCCCTGGTGAAAATGCATTAGCATTAGTCTTGCTTATCTTGTGTATATGTTGATTTGTCAAAAGCCCGAAAATATACCTCTTCACACCAAACAGAACAAAATGTAATGATAATTTGTTTTATCCGTATTAAATTTTATCCCGTTTATTACTTATTTCGCAGATTGTGGCAACAATCTCTGTAAAAACAGCTGGTGTGAGGAGACTATGGTAGGCTACGAGTGTCACTGCTCAAGTGGGTTTCAAGGGAGACACTGCGATGAACGTACATGTAGGTCTACTATAAGGCCTACAAAAAATGTTGTATTGCCCTTTAGGTGCCAAAACATGGGTCGGTCGGTCGGAAATCTGGTTTTGTTTTTTACTCCCTCTTTGGGATGATATTTTTCGGTTTTGAATGCTTTCATACATTTTTTTTTAACGTTAAAAAAAAATACAAAAATAAAAGCCAACAGTATAAATTTCAAGATTTTTGGGTCGGTCGCAAATGGCAATACACCATCTTTATTTGTTAAGGCCTAATAGGCGTATCGGGGGAGGGGTGATCAATTAGTGAGAAAAAAAAGAGCATGAAGATACTTTCTACAGGGGGTAAACTTCATTTGTTTGTTAGTTATTTTACTTGCACGCGGTTTGCTGTATTTTTTATACACATCCATTCTGCACTGCACTGCACCTCACCAGAACGACATTACATGACGGTGGCTAGTCCTGCAACTGAAGAAGATGGTGATTCAGAAGATGATGATGATGATTAAGAAGAAAATACCTCGCGGTTCCCTTTTGGAACTTTTTGATAGTCTTTTTATTCCCACAGGAAGAGTATTTTTCTGATATCTATCCCCTTTCCCCTTGATCCTACCCCCGTACCCTGACCAAGAGCCATTCTGAGGAAATAACCTTATGCATCGCCGCTTACCTCAGTTATGTTTTCTTTGTTAGTTGCAGTGATCACAGAGTCAACGACAGAAGCGACGACCAAGCCCACGACGAGCCCTACGACTACGATGTCGGAACACTCAGACACAACGACTTCCCAAAACACCACTACTTCTAGTATGTCTAAGCAATAGAAACTTGGATATGACGTCATGTATTTGCTCATTGTCACAATGGGTCTAGCCATTATGATTATAGCCCCCTTCTCTATCTCTATCTCTCTCTTTCTCTTTCTCTCTCTCTCTCTCTCTCTCTCTCTCTCTCTCTCTCTCAGTCTTTATCTGACTCTAATTTTCGTCGTAGCTATGATCGTCGCTAATAACACTTTAGAAGGGGGCAGTGCCCGTCTATTTTTTTTTTCGCCTATAAGTTTGACGACAACAAACGAGTTACATCAGGTATACAAAGTGATCAAAATACCACTAAAACATGCATTTGATCATTATCATAATCGTTATCAGGAAAAAGTGTCAAGCCTCTCTCTCTCTCTCTCTCTCTCTCTCTCTCTCTCTCTCAGTCTTTATCTGATTTTTTGTTTGTCCTTTTCTACTACGGGCGTCGCAAAACATTTTTATTTAAGGGGGGGGGGGGGAGTGACCGTCTTATTTTTTGTCACGTAGTTTAACAATAGCCAGGGGCGGTTGGACACGTCCCCCCCAAAAAAAAATCCTTGCAATAGCGGAAAAAAGAAAATGTATAACAAATACTGACTCAAGACTGCTTCTCACTTTCAGGCTCTGGAGGGCCCAAGAGGGCAGCGTTTAGATTAATAACAATGCAAAAATCTTCTCGCCCGGTCGCTACTCTCCCTCGCATATATCCTTCGAAATGTGCAAGTAAATATTGCAAAAAATCATCAGCATGACAACAGCATGAAAACAGCAAATACGCCACAGCAATACATTTAGATAAAATATTGGGCAAAAATGCCCTTTCGACTTTGACAAACACCCCTATATCTAAATATGTTTCTGACACAGGTCATACCTTATGAAAGAAATGAGCTATACAAATTTCTATTTTTTCATGGAGCTGAACTTCCATCGTTTTGGCATTCTAATCATGTTAATGTGTCATTCCTAATCTCATCGCTTTGTATTTGTTATTGCATTTGTTATAACCCGGAACCCTCAATTACATCGTGATCATTCAACTTTAATAGTTATGTTTGTTGAAAACTTTTCAGAGTCAACAGAATCATCGACTATGGACGCAACGACCAAGCCCGCGTCGAGTCCTACGACCCCGATGTCAGACACAATGACATCGCAAGCTACCACCATCACAGGTAAGCAATAAAAACATTGAAATGGCGTCATGAATTTGATTATTATCATAATTGCTATAGCCAATACCACTCTCCCTCTCTCTCTCCCTCTCTCTCTCTCTCTCTCTCCCTCTCTCCCCCTCACATACCTTTCCCTGCTACATCTCTCCACCCCTCCCCCTCTCTCTCTCTCTCTCTCTCTCTCTCTCTTAGTCTATATCTGACTCTCTTTTTATATGTCCTTTCCTTCCAGTGCATGCTAAAACTTTTTTTTTGAGGAGGGAGGGGGGATACCCGTCTTTTTATTTTGCCCATGAGTTTAATGCCAACAAACACGCCACAGGAACAAATTTAGAAACATCATTTGGCAAAAAAAGTACATTGGGCTTTGCCAAAACACCAATTAATCTTCAAATATGCTGACACAAATTATACGCTATGAAGGAAATAAACTATACAAATATGTTTTCTTCTTCATAGAGATTAACTTTCTTCGTTTTGGCATTCTAATTATATAAATTTGTCATTCCTAATCTAATTGCTTTTTACATGTGGTTGCATTTGTTATAAGCCTGAACCCTCAATTACATCATGATCATTCAACTTAAATAGTTATGTTTGTTGAAAACTTTTCAGAGTCAACAGAATCATCGACTATGGACGCAACGACCAAGCCCACGTCGAGTCCTACGACCACGATGTCAGACACAATGACATCGCAAGCTACCACCATCATAGGTAAGCAATAAAAACATTGAAATGGCGTCATGAATTTGATTATTATCATGATTGCTATAGCCAATACCCACCCCTCCCCCCCCCTCTCTCTCTCTCTCTCTCTTTCTCTCTCTTTGTCTGTCTTTATCTGACTCTCTATTTTCTTTGCCCTTTCCTTTCACGGAAGTCACTAAAATATTTTTAGGGGGGAATTGACCTTCTAATTGTTTACCCACGAGTTTGACGAAAGCAAATACGCCACAGCGGTATATTTAGATGAAATATTTAGCCCCCAAAATTCCTTCAACTTTGACAAAACACCACTAAATCTAAAAAATTGCTGACTCTATTATGCCTCATAAAAGATAAAAAACTGTTCAATTTTATATCTTTTCATGGAGCTAAATTTTCTTCTTTTTGGCCTTCTAATCCTATTTAGGTGTCCTTCCGAATCTCTTAGCTTTGTACGTTAGGTTTCATTTGATATAACCCTGAACCCTCAATTACATCATGATCATTCATAATGTATGTTTATTGAATTTTTTTTAGAGTCAACAGAATCATCGACTTCGGACGGGACGACCAACCCGACGACACGCCCTACGACCACGATGTCAGACACAACGACGTCGGAAGAAACCACCACCCCCAGTAAGTAAGAAAAACAAAGATGTAATGTGTCTAGCCACTACCACTCCCCCTCCCCCTCTCTCTCTCCCTCTCTCTCTCCCTCTCTCTCTCTCCCTCTCTTTTCCTTAGTCTCTATCTGACTCTCTTTTTATATGTCCTTTCCTTCAAGTGCATGCTAAAACTTTTTTTTTGAGGAGGGAGGGGGGATACCCGTCTTTTTATTTTGCCCATGAGTTTAATGCCAACAAACACGCCACAGGAACAAACTTAGATACATCATTTGGCAGAAAAAGTACATTGGGCTTTGCCAAAACACCAATTAATCTTCAAATATGCTGACACAAATTATACGCTATGAAGGAAATAAACTATACAAATATTTGTTCTTCTTCATGGAGATTAACTTTCTTCGTTTTGGCATTCTAATTATATAAAATAATGTGTCATTCCTAATCTCATTTCTTTGTACATGTGGTTGCATTTGTTATAAGCCTGAACCCTCAATTACATCATGATCATTCAACTTAAATAGTTATGTTTGTTGAAAACTTTTCAGAGTCAACAGAATCATCGACTATGGACGCAACGACCAAGCCCACGTCGAGTCCTACGACCACGATGTCAGACACAATGACATCGCAAGCTACCACCATCATAGGTAAGCAATAAAAACATTGAAATGGCGTCATGAATTTGATTATTATCATGATTGCTATAGCCAATACCCACCCCTCCCCCCCCCCCTCTCTCTCTCTCTCTCTCTTTCTCTCTCTTTGTCTGTCTTTATCTGACTCTCTATTTTCTTTGCCCTTTCCTTTCACGGAAGTCACTAAAATATTTTTAGGGGGGAATTGACCGTCTAATTGTTTACCCACGAGTTTGACGAAAGCAAATACGCCACAGCGGTATATTTAGATGAAATATTTAGCCCCCAAAATTCCTTCAACTTTGACAAAACACCACTAAATCTAAAAAATTGCTGACTCTATTATGCCTCATAAAAGATAAAAAACTGTTCAATTTTATATCTTTTCATGGAGCTAAATTTTCTTCTTTTTGGCCTTCTAATCCTATTTAGGTGTCCTTCCGAATCTCTTAGCTTTGTACGTTAGGTTTCATTTGATATAACCCTGAACCCTCAATTACATCATGATCATTCATAATGTATGTTTATTGAAAACTTTTTAGAGTCAACAGAATCATCGACTTCGGACGGGACGACCAACCCGACGACACGCCCTACGACCACGATGTCAGACACAACGACGTCGGAAGAAACCACCACCCCCAGTAAGTAAGAAAAACAAAGATGTAATGTGTCTAGCCACTACCACTCCCCCTCCCCCTCTCTCTCTCCCTCTCTCTCTCCCTCTCTCTCTCTCCCTCTCTTTTCCTTAGTCTCTATCTGACTCTCTTTTTATATGTCCTTTCCTTCAAGTGCATGCTAAAACTTTTTTTTTGAGGAGGGAGGGGGGATACCCGTCTTTTTATTTTGCCCATGAGTTTAATGCCAACAAACACGCCACAGGAACAAACTTAGATACATCATTTGGCAGAAAAAGTACATTGGGCTTTGCCAAAACACCAATTAATCTTCAAATATGCTGACACAAATTATACGCTATGAAGGAAATAAACTATACAAATATTTGTTCTTCTTCATGGAGATTAACTTTCTTCGTTTTGGCATTCTAATTATATAAAATAATGTGTCATTCCTAATCTCATTTCTTTGTACATGTGGTTGCATTTGTTATAAGCCTGAACCCTCAATTACATCATGATCATTCAACTTAAATAGTTATGTTTGTTGAAAACTTTTCAGAGTCAACAGAATCATCGACTATGGACGCAACGACCAAGCCCACGTCGAGTCCTACGACCACGATGTCAGACACAATGACATCGCAAGCTACCACCATCATAGGTAAGCAATAAAAACATTGAAATGGCGTCATGAATTTGATTATTATCATGATTGCTATAGCCAATACCCACCCTCCCCCCTCTCTCTCTCTCTCTCTCTCTCTCTTTCTCTCTCTTTGTCTGTCTTTATCTGACTCTCTATTTTCTTTGCCCTTTCCTTTCACGGAAGTCACTTAAATATTTTTAGGGGGGAATTGACCGTCTAATTGTTTACCCACGAGTTTGACGAAAGCAAATACGCCACAGCGGTATATTTAGATGAAATATTTAGCCCCCAAAATTCCTTCAACTTTGACAAAACACCACTAAATCTAAAAAATTGCTGACTCTATTATGCCTCATAAAAGATAAAAACTGTTCAATTTTATATCTTTTCATGGAGCTAAATTTTCTTCTTTTTGGCCTTCTAATCCTATTTAGGTGTCCTTCCGAATCTCTTAGCTTTGTACGTTAGGTTTCATTTGATATAACCCTGAACCCTCAATTACATCATGATCATTCATAATGTATGTTTATTGAAAACTTTTTAGAGTCAACAGAATCATCGACTTCGGACGGGACGACCAACCCGACGACACGCCCTACGACCACGATGTCAGACACAACGACGTCGGAAGAAACCACCACCCCCAGTAAGTAAGAAAAACAAAGATGTAATGTGTCTAGCCACTACCACTCCCCCTCCCCCTCTCTCTCTCCCTCTCTCTCTCCCTCTCTCTCTCCCTCTCTTTTCCTTAGTCTCTATCTGACTCTCTTTTTATATGTCCTTTCCTTCAAGTGCATGCTAAAACTTTTTTTTTGAGGAGGGAGGGGGGATACCCGTCTTTTTATTTTGCCCATGAGTTTAATGCCAACAAACACGCCACAGGAACGAACTTAGATACATCATTTGGCAGAAAAAGTACATTGGGCTTTGCCAAAACACCAATTAATCTTCAAATATGCTGACACAAATTATACGCTATGAAGGAAATAAACTATACAAATATTTGTTCTTCTTCATGGAGATTAACTTTCTTCGTTTTGGCATTCTAATTATATAAAATAATGTGTCATTCCTAATCTCATTTCTTTGTACATGTGGTTGCATTTGTTATAAGCCTGAACCCTCAATTACATCATGATCATTCAACTTAAATAGTTATGTTTGTTGAAAACTTTTCAGAGTCAACAGAATCATCGACTATGGACGCAACGACCAAGCCCACGTCGAGTCCTACGACCACGATGTCAGACACAATGACATCGCAAGCTACCACCATCATAGGTAAGCAATAAAAACATTATACAAATATATATTTTATCATGGTGATAAATTTTCTTCGTTTTCGCATTTTAATCATGTAAAGGTGTCATTCCTATTCTAATTGCTTTTTACATGTGGTTGCATTCGTTGTAACCCTGAACCCTCAATTATATTATGATCATTTAACTTAGTTATGTTTGTTGAAAACCTTTTAGAGTCAACAGAATCACCGACTACGGACGTGACGACCACCCCGACGACACGTCCTACGACCACGATGTCAGACACAACGACGTCGAAAGAAACCACCACGTCCAGTAAGTAAGAAAAACAATGAAATGACGTCATGCATTTGATCATTATTATAAAGGATCTAGCCATTATCCCTCTCCCCTACCCTCTCTCTCTCTCTCTCTCTCTCTCTCTCACACACACTTCCATATTAGGAGATGCTATAGCTTAACAATGAAATTACAGGTTACACAGAAATCAAAAGAGGAGTACGTCAGGGATGCGTAATGTCCCCATCTCTGTTCAACTTGTGCACAGAGTTGGTATTCAGGGAAATTTCAGATATGAAAGGTGTTAGTTTTGGGGGTGTATATATTAATAATTTACGTTATGCTAATGACACTGTACTTCGCGCAGAGAATGAAGCAGAGTTACAACATGTATTGGATATTGTAAAAGTCAAAAGTGAAGAGTTTGGTCTAAGCATGAATGTCAAGAAAACTAAGTCAATGATTTTTAGTAGAACAGAGAATAAGCCTAGAATATGTTTGAAACTCGATGGACATATCATTGAGCAGGTCAATAATTACATCTACTTAGGACAAGATATCACAGATGATGCCAGATGCGAAGCAGAAATAAAAAGAAGAATAGAAATTGCTCGGAATACATTTCTGGCAATGAAAGGATTATTCACAAATAGAAAGGTGAAATTTGCGCTTAGGTTGAGACTAGTAAACGGTTATGTATGGTCTGTCCTATTGTATGGAACAGAAACATGGACAATAATAAACAAGGCCATGGAAAATAGAATACCATCTTTTGAAATGTGGATCTACAGAAGAATGATGAAAATATCCTGGAAACGAATGAAAACCAACAAAGAGATATTGCACATGGCAGGGCGTAAACAAATTGCTCTAGTAGAATTAGTTAAGGAGAGAAAAATCAAATACTTTGGTCATGTTAAAAGGCACCAAAGCCTCTTAAAGGATGTATTGGAAGGAAGAGTGGAAGGAAGTAGACATAGAGGGAGACCCAGAATCAACTGGGAAGAGAATGTCAAGAACTGGAGTGGACTAAAACTGCAAGAGTGCACCAGAATGGCAGAAGATAGAGTGAAATGGAGAGATGTTGCAATCAACCTCCGAACCGGGAGAAGATACTCAGATAGATAGATAGATATAGCTTAGTGGTCTCGTATTTGGGAGGTCCCGGTTCGAACCCAATTCGATGCGCTAGTGCCCTTTGGTAAGGCATTAATCCTCATTACCCAGTCCTTCAGAGAGGACTTAGAGCCGTCGGTCCCCTAGTTGCTTGATTACAAGCTTCACATGTTTTCTTAGCTGTCAGGTAAAACAAACAATATTAACCACAACAAAACCTGCAACGAAACACATTGCGAATTAATTAGAATTTGCGATGGTAAGCAAACAACAAATTATTATCATGATCATTATTAATATTATTTTATTATTATTGTCATTAAAATATTGTTTTTAACATTATCATTTGTATTATTATTATCATTAATATCGTGTGTTTTTTTGTCGTCATCATTATCATAGTTATTTATTCTACTTTGTAGATTTAAGTTTCTACCCAATTAATAATTTGTTCTACTTTCTTAAGATTGAGTAATTTACATAATTATTGTTCTATCTTTTTAGCATGCTCATCTCCTCCGGAGAAATACGAATACGGCGGGTCGTTCTACAATTTCAGCACTTGCGAGATGAATCATGCTTCCGCGGTTTTAGATTGTTCCCAATACGGATCCCATCTGGTCTTCATCGGGTCGAAAGAAGAACAGGACTTTATCGTAGTGTTTGCCAATGAGGAGTACTGGATCGGGCTGACCGGTCCCAGTGACAGCGAGGCAAGGTGGCTAGACGGATCAAGTCTTAGGTATAGCAATTTCCAAAGTAATTCGTTCGACGACAATGGAAATTGTTTTCGAATTTATAAGGATTGTCATTATTGTTGGCATGATAAGGAATGCTACAAACAATATAGATTCATATGCGAGAAAGAAGTGGGGATATAAAAATTGGATTTGTTTCTTTCTATTTTTCATACTACCTGTTTGCACCACTGATTGGGGCCATGATGGGGGCAAGGAAAGGACACCCCCCCCCCCAAAAAAAAAAGCTTTATCGGAGCTTTAGGAATGTTCGAGTTTGTGGGTTTTTTTTGTCGTTCCATGCACTAATTTTCACATGAACAGCACTGAAAAGATTGTTAAAGAGATGTTAATTTATGATGTTTAAAAGATGGAGCACTTTTTATCTTTACATTCAAGCAATTTAAACATAATTATATAAATGATCAGCATTGCCATCAGTGACGGCTTGTTCTCTTGTGTTTTAGAGAATCTCATTTGTATGGCAAAGAGACTTTTCAAACTTCATTGTATAATAATAGTTATGCTTCATGAAATGATGAAACGTCAAAGATATTTGATTACAACATAAAAGTGCAGTTTGTGAAATAAAGTGGTTATAGGGTCTATAATATGAATACACATACATGTACATATATACTTACCTATACATCTCCCTTCATAGACATATACATAAACATATACATATACATGTAAATACACATATACAAATGCATATGCATACACTTATAAATATACATATATGTCTGTGCCCTCGAGTAATGAGCTCATATTTCAGATACGACTAGAACTAAAAGAACGAAACAAAAACATTATAATTTCAATGTGTCAAAATACACGGTAATTTATGACATTATTTAATAGTTTAAAATTTATATTTTATAACTTAAAATTTTATATTTCAAAATCATTACCTAAATAAGGTAAAACAAATATGTTTTTAGAGTGAAATATGAGGTACATTAAAGTAAGATGCTCGGTTTATTAATTATTTACTATACAGTGCGTCCCAGAAAAAATGCAACTTGAAGAAAAAATATTGTGAATATCCATGAGGTGTATATATAGATTCCTTGCTTTCATATAGGAGAGGTAATATGCTTTCTAATGATACATTGGTTACATTAATCTATACACGCTTCACCGAGCAACATTGTTTTTGGAATGGTATGTCAACATTCACTTGTACCAGATTTGGGTGAAGAATGAGACCGTTAGTACATTAGAGTTTCAAGACGGACAGGACCTGACATGACCCGTAAGCAACACAGATTTTAAAAGCGATAGAAAAGATTATTTGAACGAGCTTTTCTTAATAATGAGGGCAAGATTAATGCCATCCTTATCATGAATATAATGCCTTGTGGAGATATTGTCGACGGTGAGAGTAAAAGGGCATATTTGGGTACTTAATGGGTCTGCAATTGTAATGAACATTGCTTTTGCATTTGTCAGAACTGCCTGAAATCTTTAAAAGAGCAAGTTAGACGATAGTAAAAAGAAGAATCAAAGAAATGGATGCCTTACATTTTGATAATGGGGAAAGGTATGGTATTATTGTCATATCGGGAAGAAAATAAACCATAAAAACAGCGTAATTTTCTTTTTTGGATGGGCACCATTTTCAATCAGTAAAGGGGCACGTTTTCATTGCTCGAGTGTATATATTGGTTTTAGGAATATCTGAGGTTGTACGCCCCTGTCAACCCAAAAATGGGTATTCGCCCCTATTCTTTTTGTAACTGCTCATCTAAAAATGCTTATCAACACACAGCGGAAATATTGGATAAGCGTCTTTTAAAGCTTACATTTTCTTTTCGTATGTGATACGAACGTAGACACTGTTTTTACAAGTAACTGGCACTGTTCATTACAATCGCGACCCATTTAAGAACCAAAATATGCCCTTTTATTGCATTGATATTGCCCTCATTATTAAAAAAAAAGCCCATTAAAGTAATCTTCTCATTCGCTTTTAAAATCTGTGTTTCTTTCAGGTCATGATCGTGTTTGATACTTTGATACTAACGTTTTCACTCTTTCACCCCGTTTGGCTCAAATGGATTTTGACATGGCATTTTTAAAACAATAGTGCTCGGTGACGCGTGTGTTGATTAATGCATTCAAAGTATCATTAAAAAAAAAAGTAGTACTCCTACTCTATACAAAGGAAGAAATTATTTCTATATACCTTATTGATCATTCAGAATAACCGTTTGTTTTTCGGGTTTCGTTTTTACTGGGGCGAACTACCAGACATTTTCTTTTACAAAAGGATACTATGAAAAGTAGCCTCGCTTAAATAATATCTTTAAAAATGTTTATCTTCTCAAAAATTGCATCTTTTATTATTATTATCAGTGTTAATTATTAATGTTATTAGTATTTTTTTTATTATTAGTAGTATTGTGATTTAATTTATTATTATTATTATTATCATTGTTAGTGTAAGGATTATTATTTGTATTATTTTCACCATCATTATAATTATTATTTTCAATTATTACTCTTAATGTTACAATAATGATTTTTTTTTTAAATAATTTTATTATTATTAATATTATTATTATAATTGTTATTATTGCTATTACTTTTTTTTTTTTATTATTTTCCCAATTGATAATAATTTCTTGATATCAAGAAAGTGTCTGGACAAGGAATGAAAGGTGCAACACAAATGGCACGTGAAAGAGTTGCATGGCGTGCTCTCGTGAAGGCCACAGCAGCGCTTTACAGCGCCACCTGAAGTTGATGATGATGATGATAATAATTAATAGCATTTATTGTAAGTAAACCTTATGTAAATATGCAAACCTGATACAATGGGTGTTGCGACTATGACGAGATGATTCATTTTCTCAAGTAATCGAAATAGTAGCATTAGTGATTAAATGTTTGTTTGACGTGTATTAATTCAGTTTCAAATATTATACTGTCAATTGTGTTTGTGTAAGTAAGAAGAAGAGAGATACACAGCAAATATGAAAGTGTGGATAAGAGGAATTGAGAGAATGAAAGAGATCTATAATTTAGTGAGAGAATTCGAAAGGAAGAGATAAAGAGTGAAAGAATGTGAGAAGATATTGATTTAAAGTGAGAGAAATTCATCATGAAAGAAATGTATAATTTGAAAGGAAGACTCAAATAAAGATTGTGAGAATATGAGGAGGTGATAAACAGAGAAAGTGAGAAGATAATACGGTAGGGTTTTTTTTGTTTAAAGATATAGAGATATAAAAAGTATGTGGATTTGAATGGAAGAAATCAAGAGCGACAGATTGTAAGAGGATGATACATGGAGAGAATTTCTAAATGGAAGAGAGGTATTAACAAAAAACAAAAAAAAGCGATATAATGCTATTTTCTGGTCCCATTTATCCTTTCAATGTTAACCATTCACATTTGATTGTTATATTGATGTACTAATTTGTTTTGGATAACAAACTTCAAACTCAAACTCAAATGAGTGAGATAATTTGAATGGAAGAGATGTACATTATATGCAGAGTTATAAACAACCCAGCATCGGGAAGAGGTGTCACCATCAGTTCGCACTTTTCTACTATGAACCACTAAACAACTCCATTACTCCTCTTATTGCTGGTTAATAATTTTCTCCGCTTTAATTTCGATTGAATTAATTTGGATCAAAGTCAACTGAAGGGTGTTGGATATCCATAGGAAGGCTAATAAAAAATATCATTTACCATGTGCAATGTGCAATGTGTGTCCAATTTAAACAACTTCTAAGAACAAGAACAACAAACTGTTATGATTAACAACCGCATCAATGCACCTTGGAAACATTTAATACAATTTAGGTATTTTTCTGTAGCTGTACACTGTTAGAACAAGTATTAAATCTTTTAATCAACTTGGTTAAAATTTTAATCAACCACGGATTACCATGTGAATCACACAAGGGTTGGTTAAACTTTAACCAACGGCCTGTTGATTAAAATTTAATCCGTGGTTGATTAACAATTTTAATCAATTATTGGTTTAAAAAATTTGCTCAATGTTGGTTAAAATGGTGTTGATTAAACTTTAACCATTTGTTGATTAAAACTTTAGCCTTTTGTTGGTTATTCATACTTTGTACGGGGCTGATTCACATGATGTTGGTTAAACTTACATGGGTCGTTGGTTAAAATTGTAACCATTGTAGGTTAATTCTGCTTTGATTCACACGTTGTTGGTTAAACTTTAGTGGGTTGTTGGTTACAGTTTTAACCACTGTTGGTTAAACTTACGGGGGTTTGGAGGTCTTATCCTCGTGTTCGCAGGTAAGAAATTGTTTTAATATGATTATCATCAATGCTAAGATTTTAAGGAAGAAGTGAAATAAGGTTCTTGCTCAAATTTAAAACGTTTTGTGTCCCGGGCCCGTAGGTTGTAGCTCAACACTGGCGTACCTATGGGGGGGGGGGGGGCAGGGGGGGCAGAGTGCCCCCCCCTGACGGGCTCCAGGGGAAAAAAAGAAAAAGGGGGGAAAAAAGAAAAGAAAGGAAAGGAAAGAAAAAGAAAAAAGGAAAAGGGAAGAAAAAAAGGAAAGAAAGAGAAAAAAAAGAAAAAAAGGAAAAGAAAAGGAAAGGAAAAAATGGGGAAATTAAATAAAAAACCATGGCCGTACGCACCAGGGGGGGGGGGGGGCAGTTGACCCCAGATATTTTGAAAACGTACAGTTTTTTTCCTGAAAATGTAGTGTAGGCCTATACCAAATCCTTCAATTCTACTTTTGAAAATGCAAAAGTACCCTCATGACCAGTTCGGTCGCTCGAACTCCCTTCACTCCTTTTGCTTTTGAGATTCTTCGAAAACTTTTAACGCATCTTTCCCCCTCCCCCACCAGAAAAATATTCCGCATACGGCCCTGAAAAATTAAGACAAATGAAAATAGGAAAATATAAGTGATATAACAAATTCGAAACTCTTCGCTGGCGCGAACTGCTTGCGAGCCTATTTTGTATTAAATGTTTTCACTTGCTCGTCCCCCTGA